GTCTCCCGCCATTCCACGGGCTGCTGCTCTTTCTCTGCCCCTCAGCACACCTCTCCCCCCTCCTGTTCTTTTGGGCTTTTCTGCCTCCCCCCCACCCCCCCAGCACTGCCCACAGTTCTTTAATGTGGGAGAAGGCAGGCTACGGAGCCATCTTTCCTTAAAGCTGAGCAAAGCTGCCTCTTCTCGGCTCTCCAGCACCAGCATTCAGGCCCGGGGAGGGAGCTCGAGTGGCCCTTGCGCCTGAGATGGGCCAGGCAGCCACAGACCCAGCTCCTTCAGAGGGGGCACCGTGTAGCCCACCCAGGGGGCATCCAAGCGGCTGGAGGTTCTTTAATCCCATCCCAGCCCAGAGACAGCAGGCAGTGTGCACACTGCTTATGTTGCCTTTAGCATCACAAGTGATGTGATCCAGCTTTTGTGTCCTGTAACTCAGGGTCAGTGGCATACTATGTGGGTCCAGCTACTGTGGACTGTAAACCAGGGTTAATGGGCCACATGGTTTTCTTGGCAAGAGTAGAGCTGACCTCTGAGTAGCATTTAAAGGCTGTGCTGCAAAAGTGAAGAGCCACACAGAATGATTCAAAAGTAGAGGGGGAAGTACATTAATTAAGTAGTCATATTAACATTCATTTAACTTTTAAGTTTTCCCTGGCCAGGACTTCCCTGGCTGCCCACCCTCTCCAGTCTGAAAAAGCCCTTCTAGAAGGATTCCCTTCTGAATTGAATGGAGGGGTGGGAAGCCAGGGAGGCTGCAGGGCCCTGGAGAGAGGACGGTAAATGGATCGTTCACACACGCGCCACTCAGCTGCCTCTTCACTAAGAAAGCACAACACCCACACACACACACTCCAGCCAGGAACATTTCAGGGACATTCTTTTCCCCTTTAAAGGAATTTCAGGAACACGTTCTCTTTCCCCAACCGGAATCAGAACTGGTAGGAACCGGTAGGAAAAGGAAACAGGCAGGAAAATTCCTCTGGCTGGCGTTGATCTCAACTTCAACTGCTCTGTAAAATTAATGAATCATGCTCTTTGAGCATCCTTGGGCCCATGGCAGTGTTAAAGCCCCATTTCTTTCATTCAGTACATTTTAAGGCATTAAATAATGTCTTGCATTAAATGGGACCTTTTATGTTTCCAGGGTGCTGTATTTTGTGACCTTGTTCTGTTGTACTTTGACACTAAAGCCAAATTTTATCGGAGTGAGAAGTACGAGGAGGTAACGAGAAGTCAAAATGTGAAAAGTCTGTGTGTGTGTGTGCGTGCATGCACGCGCATGTGCATTGCTCCCTTTGAATTTGCTTTCACTCCCAACAGGGTTTTTGTTGCAAACACACTGCTTCTGTTTGCCCCGCCACACTCTGCCCCATGAAATGCTTCTTGGCACCTCCCAAGGCCCGTGGCGGAGGGTACGCTGCTTGCATTCCTTGCGCTGAAGCTGTTGTGTGAGGATCAGCATTACCTTGGAGGGAGGGGAGGGGTGGGGAGAGGAGAAGAGAAGAGGGAAGATTTGTTCTCTCCTCTGTGGGTGGTGAAATCCAAGCCATAAATAAATATGAAATATCCAATAAATCAGGGGTGGAGCATCTGTGGTGCTCCAGCAGTTGGCCACTGGGGAGGGATGCTTCAGATGTTCACCAGCATCCAGAGGACCAGCCCTCCTGTCAGGCGCTCCAAGGTGCTCCTTGGATTGCTGTTTTTGGTTACTGCCTCAGTGAGGCTTCCCTGCCACTCCCAAGCCTCCGCCACCAAGAACTCCACATCCTCTCCCTCAAAAACTCCTTGCTTTCTCCAGACAGAGGACAACGGAGATCTTGGATGAGCCCTTCCCGAGCGGGGGCGGGGGGTAAGGTCCTGCCAGCCCCTGGTGCCCCCTCCTCTTTGGAAGCCTTTCCTGGGCTGGTGGCATCAGCCCGGCAGCCTCCCCGCCTTCACTTCTCCGACTTCTGTTTTGCAGGCAAAGCCACCAAAAGCCAAAGTCAACATAGCTTTGAAACCAGATGACTTAAAAGGAGAAAATGGGTCTTTGGCAGACAAGCACACTTCTGAAAG